AGTTTCTTCAAGCACCAAGGGGCAGGAAAGAAGGAAGGATAATTAATTGCACCCAACCTCAGTATGACATCCTTCACACAGAAAACTGCTATTCACCTTTCCCTACTATTATCTCCACCAGATCCATGGGGGGAAGCTAACATCCACCACATCAGGGGTACGAGCAAGAGGTGATGGCCTAGGTAGCCCTGAGTCCAAGCATGGCTGGACAGGAGAGGGAAAGGAGGCAAAGGAGTGACTACTGACCTTCCCACCAAACATGGTGGCACAGCATGGAGAACAGAAGGCAGCAGCAGCACATGGTGGCTGCTTGGGGCAGTTATTAGCCACCATTCCTAGGACACAGTACAACCTGAAACAGGTCCGTCTCTAGCACAGCTCTGGCTCTCATGTATATAAACACAAACACACCCCATGAACACCCCTGCTAGCAAATGCCTCCAAATAGGAGGAAGTGCATGTGGTTTTCCATTGCCTTCTGCTCTGGGAGAGCTCTGGAGGACCACCAAGCTGAGAATGCACTCAGAGGCGGCCCAAGGCTTACTGGGAGGAAGCAGGCAAGGAAAGGATATGTATAAACTCACTACTTCATCTCCAAATCATAAAGGCCAAAATCAAACAAAATTTCACTGGCTATCAGGATGTCCTAAGTGCATTTATCTCTAGCACTATCTGCCTTTTATTAATGTGAGTTATGCCTAATACATAAATGACACATAAATGGCTGTACCAACGACCAGCCACGCTGACTTTGCAGATTGACTTCACAAGACATTTAATACCAATTCAACCACAGTATCACAACTTGAGCCACAGGCAACACTCAGAGAAAACTGCCTCAGGGCTGATGGCTACACTTCCACTAGACTACAAATCCTACACATAATTAAGCAACCAGTAACATGGGCAAGCAACAAAGAAGATCTCTTGGCCTAAACCTTAACTGCAGCAAATGACATGGCCATGGCAGAATTTGCCTTCCAGCTGGCATATCAGCTCCTGGTAACTTGTGCATTTTCTGAAAATTTCTAAAGCAAGACATAGATAATTTTTCACATGAATTTAAACAGTTTTAAACAGAGGAACCAATTCAAAGCAATAAAACTTAACTTTAATTTTCTTTCCTTACTTGCTTGGAGTTCCCTTTATTATGCAGAAAGAAAATCCTTTAAAATCCAATTCACTTTTTGCTGCTGGCTCTTAATCTTTGATTTCTGTATTGCTTGGACATAATAAAGCAGCATGGTCAATCACCTTTCTACATTTTCACACATCCAAGAACCCAACTTGCTTCCACACAATATTATTTAATAGAAAAAATGTTTGACCACCTTGTAAAAAAAAATCTAAGTTTTGGGCTTGCTTCCTCTTTTTAGTCAAAAAGTAAACTAAAAGTGTCCTCCAGCTGATTAGGTCATATCTGAGCCTCACTGGAACACGAATTCAGAAATCACAAGTGTAATGAAAAAGCAGCAGCAGCAGAATCAAGCGTTTGAAACTTGATCAATTCTCCTCTTGCCAGATGACAGAATTCAAGACCTTATGGTTTGATTTATAGCTATCCAACATCCATACACATTCATACGCACACACTGCATGTTTCAGTAATGATGGCATTGTTCTGAATCTCCTCATCTCAGCACAGGTTCTCTGTGCTCCCACCCAAATGTAAGTGAGGAAACTTTGACTTTGTTAATCTAGAAAGAATCACAGAGGCAGAAAGCAAGAGCCGGCGGCAGGATCCATTTCCCTCTTATCTGTAATTCATACAGCTAATCAAATTCTTTCAGTCCCACATACCTCAGGGAAAGCCTCTTAAGGACAAGTCCAGTAATAGTTAACTTTACCTGACAGACTTAAGGGAAGACCCCTTCTCCACTTCATTTTAAGGGAGAGCACTCACTGTAGCCACCCCTTGCCCTCCAGATTTGGTAAGCGGTGGTCCTCCAAAAGTTTGATCTCAAAGATGCTGTGTAATCCAGTGTCCCTCAGATTAATTTAGGCATTGCTATACTTAAGGAGGCTGACCTAAAATCTACTTACAGATAGCCTGCTACTGCAGAATACAATCTGAGGGTCCTTATTTCCCATCAGAGAATGAGCTAAGTATAAACTGCAGCTTTTGCCCTCTTCTGGCATATGCCGATGAGCATTTCTTTTTGGCAGTAGCATACATGCATAGCCACAGTAAAACTCAACACTATCTTAGATGTTTGCATGAGGCTCCAATTCACATGCTTCCTTCTTGAGCCAAAAAGCTTTTACGACTTCCATGAGGAAGGTTCAAGTTTCACCTTTCCTAAGTAAGGGTCTGACCAGCAGGCTGAAGTGGGAAGCACAAAAACTTTTGTTGCCTTCAGGCTACGCATCCTTAGCACTGCACACTGAGCACTGTTTCCCTTCTATTTCTTCTCTCTTACCCAGGGTTTTGTGGACCCACAGTTTCCCCTTCAGCACATAGGGACACCTCGTGGTAGATTCCCCTCAGTGGCAAGACATTTAAGAGGCAGGCTTTAAAGCATCCAGCCAGGCAGAACTCCAGCTGTTTGGTAACCCAGTGTTTTCATACAGCCTTGTACTGCACAATGCAGTCACCAGACACTTGAACTTCATCCTCTGAACCTGCAAAATTTCCCCAAACACCCAGTGCACCTGTCCTTCTGAACTAGGGATGACCCAAACTAGATAGCATTTGCTGGAAAAGTACTATTGTAGCTGCCTGCACAGCAACAAAGAACTGGCAACATACAGCACCTGACTTGTGTTCATTGAGCTTAAGTCCAAAGGGTGATTATCAAAACTACCCTCCAGTGTTTCCAGTCCAAAACTCCATTCCCAGAAGACCTAAACAGTTAAAATGAAACCTGACAATGAATAATGGCAGCTTGCTGGCCTACATGGTTAGGCTGACAAGACTCATCTCCTTGTTTATTAGTTTGATTTAATTACAGAATCACAGAATGGCCTGGGTTGAAAGGGACCATAATGATCACCTAGTTTCAACCCCCCCTCTGTGGGTAGGGTCTCCAACCACATAGAAGTTAAAACTAACATAACTTCAAAATAGATTTCTCTCCATTAGCCCCTTATCCCCTGTGGATTGGAAACTGTTCCCAGCAGCCTTCTGACACAGAAGTGAAAGATGCATTGTGTATTAGGTAGGGACATTGTTTTGACCACACAAAGGTCCAACCTGTGCTCCGTGGCATTTTCTCTGGGCTACAAATTAAGCACCCAGAGCACATCTGTTTTCTGGACTACCTTCCTCATCATTAGTCTGTTCTACAGGAATGTACGTGGTCCTGCCGAATGTAATTTGTTTTAATGCAAGGGAGCAACTATGTGAGTATGCTCTGACTTTTCTAAGACAAACAGAAGTTTTCTATCAGCAGGAAGGCAAATGGAGCACTTGGGCTTATTCTCTGTTACCCCAAATATATTAGCCTCTCACTGATGGCCCTTAAAGCCCTTCTTCTTCAAGATCTGGGTGAAGCGTGGTAGTACATATTACACTGTAGATAGAAGTCTCACAGAAGACTGCATCCACGCAGTCAACATTCTTCCTTGCTTTCCCTGGAGAAATTAGCTTGAGGGACAATTTAGGAGAGTAACTTGCCTGGCCCATCTCCGAGAAAAGGCCAGATTCACAGATGATCCTTCCCCTTATCTGCTTGTGGTTGAATTCAGCCAACCAGGAACTTCTGTTCTTTTAATAGGGAAGAACATGTGCTTACAATCAAGCATGAGGACATTAATGTACATTAGCTGGATTAAGTGGTTTAGCAGGCTAAGGCAGAAGGTGCTTTTGAATTAGGGCATCCCTATTCCACGGCATTTAATACACATTAACATCCTTTCGGATACTGTACAGGCTGGGTACAAAGACTTCCTTTCTCTGATGCCAGTTGCAAGTCTGTACAATTCTTTTGATGGCTCAAGTGATTAGGCGTTAACAAGAGCAACCTAGGCACTTAACACTAGGGAGTTTTAGCACCAGGTTCACACCCCCTCCCTCTCCCAGCTCAGCTAAGGTATTTTTCTCATTCCCCACTAATGTTAACAGCAGGTACTTAAAGCAATTAGCCATTATCGCCTCTCTGGTCTTTATTACTACCTAGCTTCGTATCAGCTACTTTGTACGCAATAAAAGAGCTGAATTAACAGGACTGGTGCAGACTATTTTGCTTCCTTTCTTAATTCTGTATGAAAACACTGGGTCATAGAGCCACATGGACAGGCTGTGAGTGCAGTGCTTTAGTCCATTACTGCCAATTGCCGTGGTATTTTATGAGGAGAAAAACAACAGGTAGCAAAAAAAAAAAAACAGATATAGGGAGATCATAGAGAAGGTGACATAGGGAATATAGGTAGACCAAGGGGATGTAAGTACTGTAAGAGTTGCACAAGTCCAGCAGAACAGCTTGCAGCTATGGCTATGCTTTGAATTAGCTGCCACATAGACCTGCAAGTTGCACAGGAAGCCTAAGGACGCAGGTATGATGTGTTGTTCATTTGAGAATAAAGCCCCATATCTACTGAGTAGCTCTTGACTGCATGGGAATAACTGTTGTAAAATTTTCATGTGGGGATATCAAGAATTTTTTCTACCCTCTTTTTTTACTTTTTTTTTTTTTTTTTTTTTTTTCCAAAAGGAGGCTTTCCCATATTTGCCCAGCCAGTTAAAAGCTTCCCCCTTTCCTCTACCTCAACTCACCATTAACCCATAGCATGAGTATAGGACCTCATAAAATGAAATATTTTCCCCCTGTCCCCTGCAGTATTTCTAAGCCTCACTTTGTTATTCCCAAGAGGGAAGGGACAAAAGACTTTGAGATCTTACATCCTGCTGTCGGTTCTTGCCTGAAAGAGGTAAGTAGGGAAATTGAAGAAAAGCTGAAGAAAGGAGCCTGTCCCTTGTCAGCATTCACCTGTAATGGGGGCAAAGTGTGAGGTTAAACACCAAAACTAGAGTGAGGATCAAGAATGAATAGGGTACTTACACAGTTTCATCATTCTTGAACTCCAACTCCCCGTAAGTGTCTTCAAAGTCTTCTCCACCTCCTTTTGCTGTCCCTTCTACTGTCCTAAATGGCACTATGACTGTACCCCGAGCACCTGATGTCCTTAGAACTTTGACTTCCATCACACCAATGCTCTCGCTGACATGTATAACATCACACTCAAATGTGAAGATGCCAGCATGGTCATCATCCAAGATAGTCACTGTGGCCACACAAGGAGAAGCCAGTATGGCCTTTGGGTATGGGGAGTTACCGAGCTCTGGAGGTTCTTCACTGTCCACCACACGGAGGTTACTGAGCCGCACAAAGAAATGTTCATCCTCCTCAAAGATGTCATCATCAATAATTCCCACTGCAAAGTCCTTCTGGGTCTCCCCTGATTTCAAGACAACAGTCCCCTCTGTGAACTCATAGTCAGCACCAGCATTGGCAGAGCCATCCTCGGTTTTGTAGTCTACATAGATGGTCTTGGACACATCCCCTCCTTTCCGAACCACAGTCAGGAGAACGGCACCACAGTTCTCAAGACACTGATAGGAACATGGGTCAAAATAAATTTTGGAGATAAATTCCTCAGGTTCATCCGGCCGCACCTCATGCAAGCTGGTGCTCTTCTTGGCTTGCTCAGCTGCATGCTTCTTCAGAATATTGCCAGCCCCTGTCATCATTCTGGTAGCCTGAATGCGATAAAAGGCTCTGCTCTTCTGCTGATGTGACAAGGCGTAGTAGTTAGCCATTTCTACCAGCTGGTCCAAATCCTTTTCTGGGTGTTTTTGCTTCAGATCCTTAAGGATCCGGATCATCTCTTTGCGAGATTCATCTACCTCTTTCCCCTCCACAGTCACTAAGTTTCCATCCAGAAAATGGGAGTTCATCATCTTGCCATCCATCTCAATTCCCTTAGGGTGATCACCTTCTGATTCTATGATGATGCCCCTGTGCTTGTCAGTACGGTACTTTTTGTGCATATACTTATAGAAAAGCAGGCGTCTATCTGCTATCCAAGCCAGAAGAACACAAAGTGGAAAGAAGAAAAGTGTGAGCAGACCTTCCCAGACCTGAACCACACCTGGAGAGAAGACAGCAAGGATCATGTACAACCAGATGTAAGCAAAGATGCTCCATGCAGCTGTGACAAAGAAAACTCTCAGGTGTTTTATCTTTCTGGTTTCCCCATCAGGGATCACATAGACACAGATGGCAATGATGATAAACATATTGAAGGCAGCACTGCCAACAATTGTAGATGGCCCCAGGTCTCCAGCTATGAATCCATGCCCACACACTTCTATCAGAGACAGAAGGATCTCAGGAGCAGAGGAGCCCAGAGCCATGAGGGTCAAGTTGGAAACAGTTTCATTCCAAATCCGAATGGTTGTTGTTGTGGTCTCTCCATTGGGTTTCTTAATCGTGATTTCTTTTTCTTGTGATGTAATGACCTCTATAGATGCCATGAATCGATCTGCAATGATGGAGACTCCAAGGAACATGTAGATCAGTGCTACAAAGTATACAATAACACGGGCAATTTTGTCCCCAAGGGATGGGTTTTCTGGGTACCATATTGGCAGGATAACACCTTCCTTGCAGTCAAAAGATCCTGAACACGAGCTGTTTTGTACTGAACTGGTTGAGTCTCCCGTCAGGCCAGCATCCACCTGCAAACCATGCAAAAACAGCACAAAAGTAACCAGCCCAAAATGGAGGAAGGCCGAGGTGAGAGGCTGCAAGCTTAACCACGCCATACACAAGATGCAACTTCCACTGTGTAGATCCAAAAGGGCCGAGAACCTGAAACAAACAAAACAGAGAGGGGGGAGGGAAGCATGAGAGAAAAGGAAGATGTAACATTTATCCAAATGCACTTCAGTATCTCACCATGGAAGAGTACTGGTAGAGATGCAAAGGTTGTCTCTCTCTGTCACTTTGAAGAAGACATTTAGCAGGGACTATAACAAACTGCAGCATTTACATGCCCAGCAGATGAGGATGAATTGCTAGAAAACTAGCTGAGAGGAAAACTATGCAACAGCCCACAATTGACCTGCAGCATATGCCATAGGAATACTGCTAGCTCAGCTGTCACTCTCCTAATGATGCCACCATGTTGCCCGGAATGCTGTGTTTAAGCTCAACACAAGAAACCTAATCTGAAGGCAACCCTGTCTCATCTTCAAGGGGATAAGACAAGTCAAGGAATCACTGGAACGAAAGGAACATAATTTAAGGCCAGTGAGCAATCTCCAAATTAAGTCCATTTGCAGGACATAATTAAGTTATGGAGTACCTTAGTGGCCAAACATCCCCCTGGCCAGTACCTCCTGATAGGCTGCAGAATATTCAGAATGGTTCCAGGGCTCCCCTAAGCTTCTGAAGCACAGGGCCCCCACATCAGGAGGTAAAGATGTCAGCAGGAAAGTAGGGCAGAAGACTACCGTGCTTGGCAAAGGCTCTGAAGGCCATTTTTCACTAACTTTGCCACTGTGATCTGGAGGGTCACATTTTACATCAGTAATCCCACTTGTGAAAGGGCAAGAAAACCTACAAAAAGACTGTTATTAGAAAGAGACTTAAGATACAGTAAATTGTGCCTACAAAGATTCCTTCTGTGTCCCTAAGAAATTAATGCATTTTCAAATATCTTCTAAAATGAAAGTAATATCTAACCTGAAACACCAGGTAGAAACAAAGAAGCCAAATGGTGTCTAATGTAGATTTGGTGAATCATTGCACAGTAGTGTGTCTTATGGACTGCATCACTGTAGAACTTGCATCAGTTGCAAGCAGAAGTTCAGCCATTCACACACTACTGTATTCCCTTTACGCCAGGAAGAACTTGGTCTCAGGCTTAGCTGAAAAATCACATTTGTGAGTCCAGCCACAGCCAAGTATCTCACAGGAAACATCAAACTTAATAACAGCATTATCTAAAGCACTTGGAAGGTTCAAGAGCCTTAACTCCCACTAACATTCATTGAGGTTTGTACTGCTAAATCAGTAGGATGGGGATTCATTTCCCCTACTGTAACTATCTAAATCTTGGACAGTAAATTAAATTAAGTCGCCTAGGCTCTCTTTGTTGTTAGAGGAAAAAGACAGCTACTTCCAGGGGATGATCTAATCCAAAAGAACTATTTAAGATGCACATCTCTAGAAAGGATTTTGTCCTTTACCGTCTCTTTCCATGCTCTAGAGAGGGTGTCCAAACAGTCAGTTTAGAGCAAATGCCTGACCTTGGGATGGAGAGAGTTCAAAGGGATTAACTGGCCCCTGAGTCCTTGCTGAGGTCCTGCCTCTCCTTTGCACTGTATGGATTCCAGGCAACATTTTAACGTTATCAACATTAAGAAATGCATCTCAAATGGCTCTTTTATCGTCACATTGTATCACTCACATCTTCCCAAAATCTTCCCAGCATCAACAAAAATTTTTCAACTTTCAAATAAAAATCTATGAAGACAAGCAAAACAGGAAGGAAAGTGTAAACAAGAACTGCAAATGAGCGAAACCATCCCTGACAGAGCACAGCAGAGGGGAAAGAATTGATTATGCAGTATCAGGATCACAAATCCATATCTGACACCCTTGATATGAAAAAATAATACACTTCTTCACGTTACCTGGACTAATCCAGAAGAGACAGGTTCTCTCACATTAGTCTACTTATCTTCTCTTTCAAATGCCTACTTATCTTCCTTTTCATCCCAGTCCAGACCCCACAGTTTGGGGAAACCACAGCCTGGGGTGGGGGGTGCAGCCCCAACCGCTCTATCTCATCACCATACTTCTTGCAGGGTAGACTGAGCTACTCAGTCAGCATGTGCAACTTGGGTTCAGTTTGACACTCCCATCTGCCATTTTGTTTTTCCTCCCTCTCCACAGGGTATTTTACCAGACCGAGAGGAATCCCTTAGAAACAGACAGAGAAACGAGGAGCAACAAGCCCATCCCTAATCTGCAAGGAAGATGCATGCACATCCCCATCAAGATTACAAGTTCCAGGTGTCCCTGGCTCAAGGTACGGCTCTGTTACACCCCAGGCACACCAGCTCATCCCTTTCTGTGCTGCAATTGCTGGCACATATCCACCAGCCTCTTGACTCTTCCAGCGTCTCATTAACTGAACAGCAGCCAGTAGGCGCAGTGTCCTCCAGGATCAGCCATGTAGGAACGGCTGACAGAAAGACAGGAGTCATTTCAGAACCATCTACGTGACTCAAGCACCTAAATTTGGTTTCAAAAATGACTTAATAGTTTAATTATTGCATAAATTCAGAGCCCTGTCTAGGAATAGTACAATGACTAAACTGAAACTAATTGCTGCCACCACCATGAGGTGGTACAGCCACCTTGTGTCATTGATACTGTCTGCCAACCTCACATAATGCTGGGATGGTTCCTGTCACCAGTCACACTAGTCACTTCAGGAGCTTCCTAGTCCTTTAATTTTATATTTGATCTTAAGCATAGCCTAATTCTATCATTATTCCTCAAATTATTATTATTTCAAAAACAACTTCTGTCAGGGCAACCTCTGTGGACATCCTTTTGGACATCCAAACTCAGGCTATTGGTTGTAAACTAAAATCTCAGGATTTGGGAGCATGTCTTTCCATTGCTTTTCACTTGCCTTGACAAACACTGTAACATTAAGTGGAGGTCACAATCATTTTCTGAAATTACAACCTGATCTTGCAATTCTTTGATGCAGACGAAGCTCCCCAGTGAGATCAACAGAAACTTTGCCCATGGACAAACTGCCTAATAAGACCTTAATATGCATTCATTAACACAAACAGGGTTAAACTAACCCATTCGAAAAGCACAGGAAAGCATTCTTACTCCTCCTCTCCACACTTGGGAACTGGTGCAAAAGTGCAGAATAAAACTATTAAATTTTAAAACAGCTGTTAATAAAATATTGAGGAAACAATTTTACCATTCAGCGGTCAGAGGATGGAAGATTCAAAACTCACTTTGTAGCTCTAGGTCAGCAAGGCTGCTTACACAAGATGCAAGTCTGCCCCACGTGTACCTCCTACAAAACCACAGCCATGGACCTGTGTAGCTGTAGCCTTCCCAGAAGGAAGACACAGCTCTCCCTATCTCTGACCCTGCAACAGCACTGATCTTAGCAGGGCTAGCTGCAATGAGAGCCACTCCCTCTGAGGATGGAGCCTTGGGGTGGGCTGGCAGCACACTCCAGAGACACAGCTTGCCACCCAGGAGGTGGTACGGTGTCACTCCTTCAGCTCCAGCCCAACAAAGCCCATCCACATCTGGTGCAGAGATGAAATTCCAGCTGCACTATGGGCCAGCCCCTGGAGGTTGCAAACAGGAGGCTGCATCAGCAGCAGTGAAAAGTCAGTTGGCATCAGCTGATCTTTGGCTTTATACCACTGAGATCATGATTCTGCTGATTTCTGCTATCTCTTTGCCATCAGACATCATTTTCTTCCACAGATCTCAGCCCTGCTATTATTAATGCACTGAATACACGCAAATAAGGGCAGTGGTTCTGAATGAATTGTTCCCTATCTGATAGGATAAGTTCTGAAAGCATCCTGTTGGTGCCAAGAGAGACAAAAAGTGGAGAGGACGAGGAGTTAGTGTTCAATAAGAAGGCTGTGGGAAGATGTGTAATAGTTATTATAGTGGGGGAAACTCCCTCCACAAGAGTTAACAACGGCTGTGTGATCTGTAAATCCATAAATAAAACCCATAAATAAAAAGATCAGTTCTTGAAATACTTCTGGAGACAGTCCAGAAGGAAGCATGGACCATGCTTGTCACTATTAAGCTTGCAATTGAAAATGACTTTGGATAACTATCAAGCTCCTTACATCTTTTATAAGAGCTAGGTTTCAGAAGACAGGCGGTTTTTCTGCTGCAGACCTATGGCAAGGCAAGGCAGGGAGCTGGGAAGGCTGTATTGATTGATCCCCTGCACTTCACCATTAAGCATACATCTTCTCACACGACTCTTTAGACAAAAATATTTTCAAAAGGAAACATTCATGACTAGAAATCAAATCAAGAGGCAAGATAACAGGGAGTAACCCTCCATACAGCACAGTCCCAAGATTACCGCTCAGTACATACAAAATCAAAGGCAAAGCTTTAAGTTCCTACTCATTTCTAATTTAGGTAAGACTCTCCCTGAACTACCATAAAAACTAGAACTTTTGAAATTGACCTGCAAATAATATTAGGTTGCCTGGCACCTCCCTCCCACCCCCAAATATGAGGCACACGGAGCACATCTGGGGCCACACATCCTTTCTCCCCCTGGCTCCAGCCTAGACAGGAAATGGTACAGATCAGATAGGAGTGCTGGTTGAGCCCCACTCAGGCGTGGGCGAAGCTCTAGGTCCAGACACAGACATCTCAGGATCAAGGGCTTTGTCTGCTTGACAAACATCTGCCCCAGAGCAGAGCGGATGCGGTACTGCTATTCATCTAATCTTACAGTCCTGCTCTCAAGTTGGAGGAGACAGAAATGAGGTTCATGTTAATAACACAGATGAGCAGAAGAATCAAAATTTTTCTCACGTTCCTCAGTCCAAAGCACGTAAAAGCTTTTTGACTGAGCATAAGATTTTAATAAGCATCAGCAAAAAAGGAAATTATAGCCTTTCTGCCAAAGAACACAAATTTTTCACATAGGTATTGTTCCTGATTCACATTCCTTCGTTCACCAAAATAAAACCATAAAAAGTATTTAACACAAAACACAGTATATTTT